ATATTATAAAGTTGTATTTCTCTCAAGTACTTGATTAAATGTATAGTACAAAAAGAAAAGGACTAAAGTATTTGAAACTTATATAAGAAAAAAGTTAAGAATAGACTTAAACAAAGAAATTATTTGTATTATATTTTATATGATGAAAAAGAACATAAAATCTATTTTTAATGGTACTAAAATTTTCAGTTTGTATATAGGAATGTACATGTATATGTACATCTATGAAATTTAACAATAATAAATGAAAAAAGAGGCCATGAATTTGAAAGAGAAGGAGTAAATGGAAGGATTGAGGGAAGACAGAGAAGAGGGAAATGGTGCAATACTATAATCTCAAAATATAAAAATAAAAAGGTACTATACTTACTAATCCGAATATTTCTACAATACTGATTCTAGAAATGTATGTAAAGGGCTAGAAACTCAGCTGTATAAACAATGCATTTAAAACGGTTGTTTCAGTTTCCATGTGGCAGTAATTATAGCACTTCCATCCATTTAATATTTAGTAAGCACTCAATGTAGCACATACAAAAGACTGAGTTTATATTTCAGTTGTAATTACTTGCAGGTGTGACAAACAGCTCTTCCTCCTCTCCAGATACATAAAAGGACTTTAGAAGCAACTTAACTAAATGCACAATTATCTAAATACAAATAGCAGGAAAAGCAAATGGAGGGAGGCAACCAACAATGAACAAAGTCTGGCAAAAAAAAAAAAAATGATCCAAGGACAAGAGATAGGAACTACTGAAAATTAGGGAGGAATAATGATAAATGCTTCTGAAAGAACCTCAGTCATCTACTCAAGATAAAAACCGTTTAGCTGAACGTAAGTGCTTTCTTCAAATTTACAATTATTAAAAAGAGGCAGCTTTCCCACCTCCAAGTAAATTCTGACATTAACTATGACACACACAATGGCCAATAAATCAAGAGACAATCAATGCTAACTGGAAGCCTAAGTCAACTTGTAAATAATAATTTAGCTTTAGAATTAATGCACGCCTCCTAAGGTATACACAATATAAACTAAAGGCATACTATGTAAATTACAGCATCTAGCTGTAAGTTAATTGGACTGAAGATAAAAGTTAAAAAATTAAAAATAGACTCTTAATGCATCACACCTTTGACTCAGCCTATACATACAAAAGCATGCCCATTTCTTCTTGGGGAATAGTGTCAGTATGTAACTAAATGAGTAAAGTTACACCCATGCCCTTCTAAGGGAAACTGTATGACAATTGTTTTGATATGAAAATAAAATTTCTAAACTTTTTGCCATGATGGATAATAATTACTAGTTCTTGAAAGTCACACTGAACTTTTAATATCACTTCCCTAATGACAAACTAGCTCAGCAGCAGATCTGTGTTTGCATAAAATTTTAGTCTTAACTACCAGTTCCCATAACAAACATTAATCTTTAAAAGGATGAAGAAATAACATTTAGTGGTAACAGGGTAAGACCCCAAGTTAATACCACAAAATATAGCATATGCCCCAGTATTTACTTAAGTTATATCCAGTATTTATAGTATTTGATCTTAGCACAATGAAAGCCAATTGTATTAGACATGCATCCAGCTAATAAAATAGCACAACTAGAGTGTAAATAAAAATGGAAATCTTAGCCGGGCATTGGTGGTGCGTGCCTTTAATCCCAGCATTTGAGAGGTAGAGGAAGGCGGATCTCTGTGCGTCTGCAGCCAGCCTAGTCTCCAGAGCGAGTGCCAGGATAGGCTCCCAAGCAAACAGAGAAACCCTGTCTCGAAAAACCAAAAAAAAAAATGCTAATCTTATAGCCATCTCTTTTTTTTTTAATTTCTTTTCATTTGCATGAGAGTTTTTCTGTATGTATGTCTGTGTGCATACCTGGTACCTGTGGAGGTCAGAGAAGGATGTTGGATCCCCTGAAACTGGAGTTAGAATGGTTGTGAACCTCAATGTAGGTTCCAAACTCAAGTCTTCTGCAAGAACAGCAGTTACTCTTAATCACCATCTCTCCAGCCCCTATAGTCATACTGTGTTTTCTCTAGAGAAATTTAGAAATTCACCCTTGATCAAGGTATCCTCACATATATCTAAAGTGGGATATTAGTTAGCATGGAGAATAGTATCTGGGAATTAACTGCCAAATTCCTTCAACATGCTCCCTCACCTCCATTTCATTAAAATGCTAAGCATCATTACTGAATAACTGCACAAAGGATAGGAACATTAGAATAAACAGTGTAGCATAAGGTAGAATACAGGTGAGGTCAGAAATTTTATTTTTTAAACTTTATGTGTATAGATGTTTTTCTGCATGTACATCTATGTACCACATACATGGCCTGGTGTCCATAGAGACCAGAAGATGATGTCAGATCCCCTGGAATTGAACCCATCATGTGGGTGCTATGAACTGAAACCCTGGTCTCTTAATAGAACAGTTTAAGCACTGAGCCATCTCCAATCCTCAAACATTCTGGTATGCCTATAATCTCAGCACTTCGGAGGTGGAAATAAGAGGTCAAGGGTTCAAGGTTGCCGTACTACATTTGTAAGTTTTATATTTTTAATGCAGAAAAAATGTTTAACTCCTCATAGTTTGATCTCTAAAGACCATCACATCAATTCTTTTTAATTCTTTAATAATTTCATAAAGTATATTTTATCAAATTCTTTTTTAAAATGAAAGTTTTACAGGAGTGTTTTGTCAAATAAATGCAAATCTGACCTTGGGGGCTGGAGAAATGTCTTAATGGTCAGAATTGTATTTGGCAAAACACTGCTGTAAAACTTTCTTTCTTTCTTTCTTTCTTTGATTTTTCGAGACAGGCTTTCTCTGTATAACAGTCCTAGCTGTCCTGAACTCACCTTGTAGACCAAGTTGGCCTCAAACTCCCAGAGATCCGCCTGTCTCTGAGTGCTGGGATAAAAGGCGTGTGCCACCAATGCCCGGCTAAAACTTTGATTTTTAAAAAGAGTATGATAAAAGTAAATTCTTTGAAATTCTCAAAGAATTAAAAAAATAAAACAATTAGCAAGCACAAAGTCCTATATTCAGTCTGAAGCACCCTATAAAGGAAATCATATAGGGAGATAGCTGTAATCCCAGGCAATAGGATGGAGACAGGAGAATCATGTCAAGAGAAGTCACTATCTGCTACACAGTGAGTACATAGAGACCCTGCATCAAAAAATGTACCCTATGAGAATATAGTAATAAGGTGCTTGCTTAAAATATGTGTACATAAATTACTGATGAAATTCCAAACATAAAATTAAGAGGGATATATCCATTTTTTTTATTTTAACAAATCTCTTTAAAGTAGGAATATAAGGCAAGTAACATCTTCACATTGATTCAATAAAAACATCTATGATGATACTTAGTGATGAAGATTGCCTAGTTTTAATCTTAAAATAAGAAACAAAGCAAAGATGTCTAGTCCATCCTTACTACTTCAACCGTTACATAATGCAAGAAAGAAAATTCAAGGGAAAAAAGATAACAGTAAACCTATCTTCCTGTGTTGACATAATCACCCACATAAACAATCTCAAAGTATCTTTTTAAAGGTCACCAAATTTAGTAAATGAATATCACAAGGTCTATATAAAAATAACTGAAAATGTAGTATCTATGACCTAGCAAATGAAAAATTGAAATCCAGCCGGGCGGAGGTGGTACACACCTTTAATCCCAGCACTTGGGAAGCAGAAGTAGGTGGATCTCTTTGAGTTTGAGGCCAGCTTGATCAAAAAGTGAGTTCCAGAACAGCCAAGGCTGTAACACTGAGAAACCCTGACTCAAAAAAAAAAATAGTGCAAAGTGTAGTAGTTCATGCCTATAATTCCAAGATTCAAAAGACAAGTTAGAAGACTGCCTGGTTACACAGTGAATTCTAGTCCAGTATGGGAAACAGCAAGACCATGTCACAAAACAACAATAAATAGAAAGATGACTGATGTAAAATACATAACATCATTACAAACTTGGCAAAGAAATATAAACAGAACATACATTTGTTTCCTTCTGAAAGCTATCTTTAAACAGTTCCCTGTAAAACTTTGTGAAAACTCAATAAAGAGACATAGAAATAGAAAACCATATGGCTAAAACCACCCTACTATATGTTCAAAAATGTTTCTGAGGCAGGGAACCACTGTAATCTCAACATTTGTGAAGTAGAAGGAGTGATCGGGAATTCAAGGTCACCCTCTGCTACAGTGAATTGGAGGTTAGCCTAAACTACATGAGAGCCTGTCTCAAAAACAAACCAAGTTCCTGCTAAGAAAGAATGAAATGGAAAAAATAGGTCATCTTTTACAAAGTAACATTTGCTTTAGGTAGAAAATGACTTTAAAATTGTAACCCTGAATGAAGCCCATGAGATGTCTTGGTGTGCGGGTAAGCCTGCTGACCTGAGTTTGACACCTGAGACCCAGATGGTAGAAGAAATCAAAAGTCTACAAGCTGTTTTCTGACCTCCTAACTTGTGGGGTCGCAGATGTGTGCAAGCACACACACACACACACACACACACACACACACACACACACAACGGCACACTCACAACACACACAAATAAATAAATACATGTTAGTTTTAAAGTATATGGTCCCATTAAGAAAATTTGTAGGGCTGGAGAGAAAACTTAGTGGTTAGGAGTTGCTTGCTCTTCCAGAGGACCCGAGTTCAGTTCCCAGCACCTATATTGTGACTGCTTATAGACCTGCCTCTGCAGTATCAAACAGGCATACAGTATACACATAGACACATGCATACACAAACACACACAAATACATAAAAATCAATCTTCAAAAAATTAAGAATGTAAACTGTTTATACTTCAAATTCAATCATGGAACCTACTTTTGGCTATCAAGAGTTCAAGAATGAATCAAGATCCAGGACAGCCAGAGCTGTTACAGAGAAACCCAGTGTCAAAAACATCAACAAAAAGAATCAAAAATATATTTATAACTTGCATGATATTACTTACCCACATTTGGAGGTTTCACATAATTTACAGGTAGTTCTGGAGGTCTGCCTCTGTGTAGAGCTGCAAAAGCAGACCCATTCCATAGTGTACTCTTACAGTCTATATAAAAAGACCAAAAGTTAGTTAAGGAAACAAACGAACAAACAAACATTTTTCAAGTCTCAACACAAAAGGACTTGATTTTACACATTTAGAAATTCACTTGTAGCCAGGTGGTGGCAGAGACAAGTAAGTTCCAGGACAGCTAGGGTTGCGAAACCCTGTCTCCAACACCAAAAAAAAAAAAAAAAAAAAAAGAAAGAAAGAAAGAAAGAAATTCACTTGTACATTTAGAAAATTATTAAAATCCAGCAACTATAAAAAAGTATTTTTAAAGACATGTGAATATTCATTTGAAACTACATTGATCTCTGAATCTTCCTCTAAAACTGTGTTAAGTATGTAAAAATATCCTTACCTTTGGCATCCCGTAACAGAGACTGCCGACCAACACCTAGTAATGTCTGTACCCCAGGAACGCTCTGAGGGATCTCCTTATCTAATAAAGGACCAATCCTCTCACAAATTTTAAGGAGGTAGTCTGGAGGAATGTGTGCATTGGCTGCCACCTAAAAACCATAAATAAAACACAAGAAAAAAACCACTTAGTTCTAAGGTACCAACTTATTCCATCACAGAGCAAAAGCATTTTAAAATATGAAATTAAGAAAATTAAGTATTTAATATTTGAACCAATTTTAAGAAACAGGCACAATGCGACTAAAGAGTTGGCTCAGTGGCTAAGAGCACATACTACCTTGCAGACAGCCCAACTGCTTATAATACCAGAAAACCTAACACCTCTACCCTATACACACACACTTAAAAATAATTCAAATAATTCATTAAAAAAGAAACAGACACACCGGGAATTGGTGGCACACACCTTTAATCCCAGCACTCGGGAGGCAGAGGCAGGTGGATCTCTGTGAGTTCCAGGCCTGCCTGGTCTCCAGAGCGAGTGCCAGGATAGGCTCCAAAGCTACAGAGAGAAACCCTGTCTCGAAAAACCAAAGAAAAAAAAAGACACAATAAGCATAGTATATTTAAATATTGCCATAGTATTCACATAGCACAAGCCTCTATTCTACAGATCTTTATTAAATCACTATAACAATTTTCTATGAAATGTGGTACAAAATAGCAAGCATGATCATGTCAAAAATAAAAACCAAGTGATGTGTAAATTCTCTGACTTCATTTATTAAGCACTGAGAATTAACTGGTTAAGAAAAGAATCAAGAATCTGAGGCAGAGGCAGGTAGATCTCTGTTCTGTGAGTTCTTGGCCAGCCTGGCCTACAGAGCAAGTCGCAGGCCCATATAGCAAATTGCAGGCCCACATAGCAAGTTCCAGTCCCTCTCAGGATACACAGTGAGATCTTATCTCAAAGAAAAAAGAAGAAAAATATCTGAACTACTAGTGCCTAGCAAAGAGGCACATGCCTAAAATTCCAGCACTTGGAGGCTGAAGCAAGAGGATTATAAAAAGTTAAAAGCCAACATGCACTACATACTGAGTTGCAGGCCAGCCTGAGCTACACAGCAAGACTCTTCTTTCTCAGAAGAAAAGTGCTCACCTAAAGAAGCAAAACTAGCCAGGCTATGGTGTATAGCCTCGGGAAGCAGGGACAGGCAAATCTCTGAGTTCCAGGCCAGCCTGGTCTATGGAGGATGGGCCAGGGCTACACAGAGAAATGTAGTCCGGAAAAACCTAAAACAAACAACAAACAAAAAGAACCCAGCAAAAATAAAAAAGTATCATTTTCCCCCCTAGAAGTAAGAGCTGTGTCTCTTAAGTGGTCTCTAATTAATAATTTAGGTTTACTTAAAAGTCAGGATTGAATCACAAACTCACATCTTAAATCTTTTGTCAACTTTAAAGAAATAAAAATTCTGATTTTCAAATAATTAGGTAAGAAGTATTACTGAAAATGAAGGGGAATAGTTGTGCAGAAATGGAAACAGGAACAGGTTCTCTAATCAGAACACTTTTCCTCTCTCTTTGCTTTTCTTTCCAGACAGGGATTCTTTGTGTAACAGCCCTGGCTGTCCTGGAATTTGCTGTGCAGACCAGAGCCACCTGCCTCTGCCTCCTAAAAGATGAGATTAAAGGTGAGCCACCAGGTCTGGCTCCAGAGCACTCATTAGCAGCACAGGTTACAAGGAGTTAAGACTCCCTGCAACTCCTCTTTGTAAATGTTAATCAGTATTAATAGCAGTTTTTGTTTCCTTTCCACCAGTTTAAAGATTGCCCCAGGAAAAAAAAACCACAAACAACCCTCCTTGGGTCAAGCATTCTTTAGGTTTCAGCACTTCAAGCAGTGCTAAAAGTGGCTGGGCTTGGGGCACATTTCTTTAATCCAGAGGCAGAAGCAGAGGCAGGCCTATCTTGGTGAGCTCCAGGCCAGTCTGGTCTACACAGCAAGTTCCAGAAAAGCCAGAGTTACAAAGTAACTTTGTCTAAAAACAACAAACAAAAGAGGAGGGGAAGGAAGCTTGCTAAAAGGGTTATAAACGAGTGTAGATTAAAAAAAGTCAAGGGAAGTCTATATTCTAGAAGTTTAAGTTAAGAAGGTACAACGAAGAGAGTAAACTCAGTATCAATTTAAATAATCTGTGTGTGAGTGAATATGTGTGTATACAAATATAGTATTTGCAAATGTACATGAAACAATAAATTGCCTTTAAATTGCTAGTTTGTTACCAAAAAATTTCCTAAGTAATCAGTGAACAATTGAAAACCAAAAGCACACAAATTATACTACCAGTCATGTGAAAAACATGACAAAAATGGTTTCAGGCAGGCTGAAAAGATGGCTCAGTGGGTAATGTGCTTGCCACACAATCATGAGGACCTTAGTTGGGATGGTCAGCACCCATGTGCTTGGCAACATGGGCTTGTAACCCTAGCCTTGATGAGATGGACACAGAAGAATCCCTGGGGTTTTCTGACCAGCTAGTGTAGCTGAATTAAAATTGTAGATTCAGTGAGATACTGTCTCAAAAACTAAGGTGTATGGGGTGAATATTACCAAATTATTAAAGAAAATATAAAAGATATTCTATTAAAAATAAGAAATGTCAATAGTGGGGGAGAAATAGTCTTCCCCAGGGAAGAGCTCAGCAATTGGTTATCCAATACTAAATGGCCAACCCTAAAAACATACAGACTGAGCAGGTTATATTTAGGAATAAATATGTATATACAAATACATATAATTCATGTAACAACAATTAATGGAAAAAGAGATCAGGCATTTGAAAGAGAAAAATAAGGGGTATATGGGAAGGCTTGGAGGGAGAAAAGAGAAGGGAAAATGATGTAGTTATATTATAAACCAAAAATAAAAGAAAAATAAATTGTACTCTGGTGCTTACTAAAAAGTAAAGAAAAAACAGAGTGACTGAGGATACCCCACCAACCTCTGATCTCCACTTGTACAGAAAACACACATAAATTCATATACTCACACACACACACACACACACACACACACACACACACACACACACACACCTCCCCTACTTCTCTCCCACACACAGGGAGAGAGACTGGGATGACTTCAAGCAAAATTTTGTGAGCAGAATTCATGAAATATAAATTCTTACCTCCCTATCATCTACTCTTCACTTATAATACCACCTCACTTGAACTGAAATACCAGTTTTTTCCAGAATTATCAAATAAATCAGCAGAAAAATGTTGATCACTATCGTGAGTTACCTCCACCCAAATCTAGTTAAGTGATTTTTTTTAAAAAAAAAAATCTGTTTAGGTGAGCCACAATGAGCAATCTTCGGCGGCTCTAGTAAGTCAATAGCAAAACCAACTTCCAAAGACTGACTGCTCTACCATGACATCAGTTAGTGTGGTGACAATACACTGTATTGGATTTGAAGAGCATGTGCTTTAGGTTTCGCATGCTTCATTCTATTCGTCCTAACTGTGACTGTATGTCATAGAGCAGATTTTAAATCACACATTTAAATTGCTTCCATGCTTACACATTCAGTAACTATGTTACCAGCACTCAAAAATTAGTTTGCTAGTCTAGTAGCCAATTTAAGTTATTGTTAACAACTAGACAAAAGCTGGGCAAGGTTAAGAAAAGAATATAGGTATGTCTGGAATGCTAATATATTGTCTTAAAGTAGTTGTTATGAATCAAATGACAAATATGAAAACACTCTTAATAGGGCTACGGCTGTGGCTTGGTTGTAGTGTTTGCTTTGTATGCATGATGCATTTGGTTTAATCCCCAATACTGCCAAAAAAGTTTTAAAACCTGAATGTTTTATACAAAGATGCAAATTCTTAGAATAACAAATATCTTCATAAATACATATACTCTTTTTAGAGACAATATTAAACATGTCATCTTTTTTGAACATATAACTTTGATAAATTCATTTTAATATTATCATGGCCTCATGTATTCTGTATATTAAATAAGGGTAATACAAGCTATGCCATTCTAATACAATTACTAACTAGTGCTTTTAATTTCATGGATGGAAAATGCGCACAAGGTGGATACAGAAAAAGAACAGATACATAATATAAACTATTAAGTGAAAAGGCAAAGCTATATAGTTTATCTGAAATATAGTCAAACAAAAAAAATCCTCTGCATATAAAAATTTTAAATGTTTATATGAAAGGTCTTGGAATGTAGGTTATGCACAAGACCCTTGGTTCCATCGTGTGTGCGTGTGTGTATGTGTACACATGTAGCCAGGCACATGGTGGCACATGCCTGCTGAGAACACTACAGAAAAAGGAAGATAAGTTTGAAGTCACAACAGTGTCAAAAATTCTACACAGAAACTCACAAACTTAAGGCCTTGTGTAACAACACAAAAACTAACTAAATAAATAAATATTGATGAGGTGGGTCAGACCTGTAATCCCAGCATTTCTAAGGCTGAAGCAGGGGGCTGCTTTGAGTTTGCGGCAGGGTTGGACTACATAATGAATTCCAGGTTAGCCTACACAACAGTAAGTGACCCTGTCTCAAACAAGCTAACAAAACAGAAATATATGACAGAATAAAATCAAGTCCATGTAGACAGATGAAAACATTAACAGTAATTTTAAAGTGGAACTATTAAGGGTTAAGCAAGTCTTAGTACTAATTTAAAAAGTTCATTTAAATCAACTCAGGACTTCTGGAAAGTGATCTGGCACATGCTAGCCTGGTCTACAGAGCCATATTCCAGAACAGGCTACAAAAACTACAGAGAAGCCCTGTCTCGAAAAAGAAAAAGAAAACAAAAAAAATGTGTGAAGAGAAAAATTTTAATTACTCGATTTTCTATCATGTGTGTCTTTAAAGTATACTTTTAATTTTAAGGTTCCTTTTGCCATTTGCTCAAAAGTGAACTACTGGCACACACATCTGTAAACTGAAAAGAGAAAAATATAAACAAAACACACTGTCCATACACCTAGATATTAAAACTATTTTCAAACATGTATCAGTAGTTACCTGCCAAAACACGTATTAGTGAATAGTTTTGTGTTCTGTGGTACAAGTAGGACTTATACATAACAACAACAACATAAAACTTCTGACCAAAAATTAAAAGTAATAAGAGGTATTCAGAAATATTTTGTAGCCAGCTGAGAAATTATAAACATTATCAGTACTGGTAGTGGCATTCACTCTTGTTACAATTGTAGCATTTTTTATTTGCAAAACATTAGAAAAATCAGTAGATTCTGTAATAATTAACACGCCTTCACTCTTGAAATACAAAAAAATTATCAAAACGAATACCACAACAATTTACATGTTTTCTTATTACAAGCAAATTTTAAATAATTTTCTTTTTATTTATTCTACTACCCTTCCAACTTTTTTCCACTTTGTCTAATTTTTCTCATTTGGATCTTATTTTCAGGAAAAAGAGCTGATTTAGATTTTATCATCAATCCTTTTATTATCATACAATTCTACATCTGTGACTAAACTATAAAAAATCACCTTCTATCTCAGTGCAGAGCACAAGATGCACTTACATTACAAATTATATTTGCAGGAGAAACAACAGTCAATCCAATAGCTTTGGTCCTTAACTAAAGTATATTCTATCTTTTTTAAAAATGTCCATTGTTGTCTCCTAATCCCCAAACCATGTCCACCTATCCCAAAAGGTCATAAACCATAGTTTTGATTTAGTGAAAACATATTTGTACAGATGCGATTTACTGATGAATTAATGAGCTATTTTCTAAGATCTGAAATGTACAACAATGTTTTTATTCAGTAGTCCATTATCTAAAGACCGCAAATCTTGGAATTCACTCAGTGGTCCTTAGGATCTTTATTTGTGTCGTTTTCCTCAGTTACGAGTCACCTCCCCTTCTGAGCCCTTTTTCCCCTCCCCTCAAAAAAGAAAAAAAAAAAAGGAAAGAAAGAAAGAAAAAGGAGGAAAAAAAGAGAGAGAGCGAGAGGAAAAAAAAAAAAAAACCACCCAAGCCTGGCCTCAGTTCCCGTATTTCAAGCCAGGACCAACCAGAAACCAGTTTTCTTCCACTAATCCGGAACTCCGGGCTGTTACCAACGCTGTCATTGGCCAGCGTCAGTCCTTGGTACGTGCCCCAAGATAACCCCCTGGTTTCTGTCCCTTCTCCCCCTACAATGGGCCTTCTCTGATGTTTGTAACATAGTCATAATCCACAACACAGCACCTCTGATAACCAACTCACAGTCTTCAAAGTTTTCGGGTGAAAATAAGCAAGGCTGGAGGAGGGCAAGGTACCCTTTCGAACACGCTGGGAGGGGGAAGGGGCAGTCGTTCGAACACCAAACAGCAGGCTCCGGGAGCCTTGCGGGCTGAAGGGTCAGGGGCGGGTTGGGGGCACAAGGTAGGGAGGGAGTGGAGGAAGAGTTGGGCTAAGTTGAAATGAAAAGTTTACTAACCAGATCCTCGAAGCTTCTTCGGTGCTCTTTCCCCTCCCAGTCTAAGCGGCGCGGAATCAGCTGGGGGCCAGAGGAAAAGAAAAAGGGGGGTGAAGGAAAAGCCTCTGCTCCCCATCAGCAGAACCCAGCCCGGAGCCCCGTCCTAGACCCTTTAGCATTATCATTTCTCCAGTCCTTACAGCTATTGCCGCCGTGCCGGGGGTGGGGGGTGGGGGGCAGGCCAAAGGGAAGGAAACCCTGAAAAAACACCTCCCGCAGGAATAAAAGGCAACGAGTTAAGACCCCTGCGTTGTCCGCCCCTTCCGAGAAAGAACCCGGCTCACCCCAAGTGACAACAGCCCGGAGTGTCCAGCTCCAAGGCTCCCTCCGGGCCCCTGCCCTCGGCCCCTGACCTACCTTACCCTTCTTCCAGTTTCTCCCCAGCCCTCCCCAGCCCTTCCCAAAGGGGGTCCATACCTGATGCTCCTCGAGCTCTTGCACTAGCACCTGAGGAAGAGGGAAACACGGGTGTAAGGAGCAGACTGGGGCGCCAACCCATTCCTCCCTCCCCACTTCCAACACAGCCCATCCCCCCCCCCCGCTTTCCAACACAGCCGCTGACTGTAGGACTAATCGAGGCCGGCCTTTCCCTCACCCTCCACTGCCCTGCTCACCCGGTGCCTCAATTTCCCCATTGGGACCATTTCCCAACACTCCCAGATATCCTTCTCCCTCTCACCTGAGCGGATTTGTTACAGGGTCCGGACTGCAAGAACCTAGCGATCAGGTAATACAGCTCTAAAGAAGGGGTGGGGGGTGGGGGGAGATGTTGAGAGAGAGGCAAAGAAGAGAGATACAAGCTTTTAAAAAAAATT